AGGGATCGCCGGTTCCATCGAACGTGGCCTGCTCTGGGAACTTGAAATCACCCGGTATTTTAAAAGCCATAACCTCATCCGAGAAGGGTAAGGCGGTCAGTAACGTACGTCGTGGGGACTTGGTTTTCCCCTCCATCTGTTCTTTCAGATTTCGCACTTCTTGCACTAAGTTCGCCACTTCGACCCTCTCCCGGGTGCGATTTCCTGTGGATTCCGTGCTCTCGCCGATTTCGGACTCAGCCGGTTGGTCGGGGTTGCGTGGAGGTTGCTCCACGCGACGAGTCTCAGTCCTGGCTCTTTTGGTACGGTTCTTCTCTCGTGCAGTTTGTCGATGGCGAGCGGCTAACGGGGCATGACTGAGTTCCATCCGACCCAATCGTTCTCTTGCCGACCGACGCCCAACGCCGGGACCCAGCCGAGAATGAACGGACTGTACCGGTTGGCTTTCGGCCCGTCGGCTCTGTTGCCGGTTGTCGGGCCTATGAAGCGGCTGTAACTCGCGTTGCGGCTGGCGAGTGATGGACTGTTCTCTCACTCCTAGGCTTGCTTCGGCACAGGCGCGTCCGATTGCACGCAGCTGCTCTGGGATGAGCAGCACTTGGGGCAATTGTTGGTTTATCGATGGTGTCGGCGGCGGCGTTGTCTCGTTTTCCCGGCTCCGGGCGTTTCTTCGATTCAGCTGGCTTCTCAGGTCTGCTTCCCGTCCATTGTCATGACGACTCGATTGTTCTTCACTTCCTGCCATGTCTGGCACTTTTCTAATTCGACTGGGATTCTAATCGTTGTTCCTCGGACTCGCCTCACTCAAGAGGACACGTGACTCTTAGTTTCGATCCCACAGACGGTGCCAGTGATGGTTTTAGGGTTTTCGGGCCCAAGGAGGTCCAACACAACCTTCGGTTGGTGGGTGCACCTTTAGATAAAGTGTATGTCTATTTCGGAGATTATGCTAGTACTCGGAACTCTTTTGGTATTCTCCCCTCTTTGGGTGTTCAATTGTCTCTCCTTTTTACAAGAATGGAGGAGCCTTTATATAGTGGCTCCCCCTCTACCGACTTGAAGGCCTTTGATGGCCGACTTCATGGCTAATTAAGATACGAAGCCGTTGGATGCCATTACTCGGTCGACCAACGGCTCTTCCAAGCTTGTAACGGCCTGACCGTGTCCGGCTTTCAATGTCTCAACGGCTCCCTTTTTAAACGAGCCTCTTCAATGCTCTCAACGGCTCCTTGAGCCGAGTCCTTTCCTGGGCTTGGGCCTCGGTCGACTCCTTGTCTCGGCCTAAGCTCCTACTGGACTCCTCTTGGCAGCTCGGACCTGGGCCCCATGCTTGGGCCTGGGCCGACTCCCGAACTCGGCCCAATTGTTCTTCGGGCTCCTCTCGACGCTGGCCCACTTCTCCTATCTATTTTCTTTGGGCCCCCATACCTTGGCCCGGGGTCCTCACCCCATCAGTGATTAATTGCCTTTTAATGTTTCCATTTTTCTAAAGATAAAATATGTGACTAGTCCAAATTAGCGGTTTAACTATAACTGTAGCACTAATTATCAAAAACAACGACATCTGCCCATTGCGCTAACAACGATGACGATCCACAAAAGAAGAAAAGACTCCAGAATTCTCCCAATCTTTACTGCCGGTGTCAATAAACTCGATGCAGCGTCCAATGGTACGTTAAAAAATTTATTGGTAGGACTTAATGACCAACATTAATAGTCATGTAAAATGAAGTGGTAATCATGCCAATGTACCAAATATAGCAGATTACCATTAAATGATAATTATTATGAAAAGTAATAAAATGAGATTAGCCCCTAAACTTAATAACAGTAATTAATAATGCTAATTAATAATAATTACAATAAAGGCAAAACTGTAATTAAGGGATGCCAAATACTAATCTCAAAATTATACTAAAAGGCCTATTTATACTAGAAGGCCTAACCTAAATTCCCCAACAAACTCCCCTTTTTAATTAATTAATTATTATTTAAGAAAATGAACCTTGCCCAAAATAAAGTCCAGGTTCATTATTGAATAATCTAATTCAAATTCAAATTATCTAATTGAAATATAATAAAACTATATTATATTTAAATTATAATTATAATTTATAATTCAAATATGAGATGGGTTGAACCAATTAATTAATTAATTCAATGGCCCAAATCAAATTTAATTGGACTCATTAAATTAATTTAATTATTATGGCTCAATTAATTAAATTGGTCCAATAATCAATCTCAACATTAACCCAAGGCAATTTATGCTGTGCATCCGTATGCACCATGCATGGTGCATACGGATGCAAAAACGACGTCGTTTTAATAAAACGCGCGTCTCCCCTTAAAAAAAAAATCAGGTTCGATTCCCAGCAACAACATATGAACTAAAATTCCATAATCGATGAACTATAATTCCATAATCGATGAACTATAATTCCATAATCTAATCTATGAACTAAAAATTCCAGAATGAATGACCTAAAATTTCATAATCTATAAACTAAAATTTCATAATCGATGAACTACAATTCCATAGTCGATGAACTATAATTCCATAATCAATGAACTATAATTCCATAATCTATGAACTAAAATTTCAGAATGAATGAACAATATAATGTTGTTGCTGGGAATCGAACCTGAATTTTTTTAAAAGGGAAGACGCACGTTTTTTAATAAAACAACGTCGTTTTGGCATCCGTATGCACAATGCATGGTGCATACGGATGCACATCATAACTATCCTTAACCCAATAATAAATTTATCAGTCCATTTGTCGAGTTTAAATTTTCTGTGTCTATAAATTGTCCCCTCGGAACTTGCTGGGACTTGCCGCTTAATGTGTTTGGAGCGGGGAAGTCTTGAAACTTAACGGTCCTTTAAACTCATCGTGGTGTATCTAAACTCCATGGGCCCAAAACACATGCATATTATTTCTTGAGTCTAAAATCATTTTAGGATGTGTAGTGCATCTTGATCCTAAACATATGAAAACACTGTCATGTTGGCCATAAACAGTTATTGGTCCATGTTGGATATTCCAAAGCCCAAATTAAAAATCTATGCAGAGGGCCGCGACAATTTATATCTTACACCACGGCGCACATTGCACTATGCGCCCAGATGCAAAACGACGTCGCTTTAATTTTTTTTTCTTTTGAAATTTCCCGCCCCAGTGAATGGCAGTAGCTTTTTCTTTAAAAAAAAACCCGCTGTTCAAGAATGTACATAATGTTATACTAGAATACACATAATTATATACATGAATGTACATAATTAAATAACAAAATATACATACTCTTTTTAAAAGATAATACACATAATCAAACATAATACATAATAAACATAAACTTTTAACATAATACACATCAACTCTTAACATAATACACACAAATTTTCTGATTCGGATGTACATAATTGTATAAAAAGAATGTACATAATTGTATAAAAAATGTACATAACTGTATGAACCAATACACATAACTTTGTGAACAAATACACATAATTTTGTGAACAAATACACATAATCCCAGCAACTTTCTATCGCGCCTCCCAAAACGATCCCAAAACGACGTCGTTTTGGGAGGCGCGCGGCGCACAGTGCTATGTGCGCCGTGGTGTAGGGTATAACGATTGGAGGGCCACCGTACCGTGGTTTATGTTGAAGAAACTATCTCCTGGGGCGAAAAATGCGTTATAATCCTGATAGCAAACTCGGCGCCGTACCAAATCCGAATACTGTCAACCTCTATCATAATTTGCTAAGAAAGAGGAACGTAGAGTCCCAAATCAATCCCAACACTTCCCAATCGTTTATTATAAATAGATGCCTCAAGACAGCCACAATCACACCAATCAACAGAGCAGAGGACCAAGGAAGAATTTGCAGTCTGCTCTTCCTACCAAGTCCGTCCTTTCTATCAGGTAAATTCTTTGCCCCTAATTTTCTATCTTCTATCTTCTTCCACATGCATTTTATTGTAGGAATAGGAAAAGCACAAACGATACAGCTGCAGCGTGAAGAAAATGAAAGGCCGACCACCCATCGTTTGTTTTTTCCCATCATTTGTTTTTTTCATTGCTGACCGTTACCGAAGTTTTCATCTGTTGGGGGTCGCCTGGTTGCTCGCCGGAGATTGTCTGTTTTTTTTTTTCTCTTTTTTTTTTAATACCGCTGGAGATTCGTTGCTGCTCTTGCCGGAGGCCGCCGCTGGGAGATTACCGCTCCGGAGACCATTCTTCGTCAAAGTCGCCGGAATTTCGTCGCAAAAGCCGCCGGTCGCAAAGCTCTGTTTCTCTATTGTTGTTGGTGCAGGAGATACTCGCTGGAGGTCGCCGCTGTTTTGGAAGACTACCGCTCAAGGACGACGTTGCTCAGCCTCTCGCCGGAGTCCAGAGGTCGCTGTTGGATCTCTCGACCCACCGTGACTGTTGCGGGAGGTTTTTTTTTTTTTTGTCGCCGCAGGTGAACTGGAATCCGTCTTTCCGTCGACGGAACCGCCGACGTTCTTTGCTACCAACGCTGCTGGGTCACCACCACGACTCAGGGAAAGCTCCGTTCATAGACGCTATCCAGACCGCCGCTGCCGGACACTACTCAACCCCTACCGGAGACCGCCACCGGAAGCTATTGATGGAGTCCAGAGGTCGTCTGAGTCTATATTTCCCGTCAAGGCTGTCGTTGGAGCCATTGGAATCTGCTGCCGGGTGCTGTAGAGTCTAAGTGAAGAGGAAGGAACAATAAATATTGCATACGGGAATTGATGGCGGATGCTTATAGAATGTGTTGAATGCTCAGCACATGTTTGATAAAAAGCCAGAGAGAGAGATGAAAAGCTAGAGTTGGGAACCAGAGAAGTGAAGTTGAATTGAAGAAGAAAAGAAGTTACAATGCAATAGGCAAAGATAGTTCCTGTTATATACACTGTCAGGGCAGTTATATCAGAACCAAGAAAGGAAAATACAAAAAAAACCCTTAGGCTAGATTCTTCTTTCATTTTGCAGCTTGTGCATACTTTGTCACCCCCCCGTAAGCTGGAGCGTGAATGTCTTGAAGGCCCAGCTTAGAATGAAATGTGTCAAAACTCAGCTTGGGTAAAGCTTTGGTGAAGCCATCAGCAACCTGCTTTTGTGAAGGTATGGACATCAACTTAATCATCTTTTCACATACCTTTTGTTTGACTATGTGGCAATCTATCTCGATGTGTTTGGTGCGTTCATGGAACACATGGTTTTCTCCTATTGCAATAGCAGATTGATTGTCACAGAACAGAGTAGTTGGACCATTAGGTTTTATTCCAAAGTCTGCTAGTAAGTATAGGAGCCAATGAATTTCACATGTTGTAGATGCTAGAGCCCTGTATTCTGCTTCAGAAGAAGACCTAGATACAGTGGCCTGTTTCTTTGTTTTCCAAGAGATTAGAGACTCCCCAAGGTAGATACAATAACCAGTAATTGATCTCCTTGTCTCTGAGCAAGTTGCCCAGTCTGAATCAGAATATGCTTGAAGTTTTAATCGAGAGCAGCTTGGGAAAAATAATCCCTTTCCAGGAGACCCTTTGAGAAATCTCAATACTCTGTGAGTTGCCATAAGATGTGTACTTCTAGGCTTGTCCACAAACTGGCTCAACTGTTGCACAACATATGAGATGTCTGGTCTAGTGTTTGTTAGGTAGAGGAGTTTGCCAACCAGCCTTCTATATTCCTCAGGTTTGTCTAGAAGAGTCGCCTCTGTGTTGGTAAGTTTCTGCCCTGTATTTATTGGAGTTTGGGCAGGCTTAGCATCCAAAAATCCATTCTCTTCCAAGATCTCTAAAGCATACTTTCTTTGGCATAAGTTGAGACCATCAGAAGTTCTAAAAGCTTCAATCCCTAGGAAATAGTTCAGCTGGCCAAGATCCTTTATTCTGAATGTCTTGTCCAGGTATTGTTTCAGCTGGGTGATCTGCTTGGGATTGGTTCCAGCAACTAGGATGTCATCAACATATATAAGTAGAGCTATGAATGAATCAACTGAGGCTTTAGTGAATAGTGATGGATCTGCTGGGGATTGTTTAAAACATCATCTAGTAGGGCCTTTGTAAGCTTAGTGTTCCATTGTCTGCTGGCTTGCTTTAGACCATATAGGGATCTCAATAATCTGCAAACCTGCTTTGGCTTTTCACTCTTAATTCCAGGAGGTAGAACCATATACACTTCTTCTTCTAGATCTCCATGCAAAAAACCATTATTGATGTCTAGTTGCTGGACATCCCATCATCTTGCAACAGCCATGGCTAAAAATGCCCTGATTGTTGTCATCCTAGCCACAGGTGAGAATGTTTCAATATAGTCTACCCCTAGCTGCTGAGTATAACCCTTGGCAACCAACCTTGCTTTGTGCCTCTCTATTGAACCATCAGCTTTATGTTTCACTTTGTATACCCACTTGCATCCAATTGAAGTTTTTCCTACTGGTAAATCTGTGAAAACCCAAGTCTTGTTCTCAATTAGAGCTTCTATTTCAGATTGCATGGCTTTTCTCCATGCTTCTTCTTTGACTGCCTCAATGTAGGATTGAGGTTCATGTGAGGAGAGGATAGATGAGGCCCAAGTCTTGTGACAAAGAGGCAAACCTTCATAGGATAAAACTTTGCTAATGTGATGTGGAGATGTTCTGATATGAGACTTGCCTACTGAATGACAGTAGTAGTCTTGTAATCTGGTGGGAACACTCCTTGTTCTTTCTGACCTTCTAGGCTGCAACTGAACAGGGTCTTCTTCCACTGCACTTCTTTCTTCTAGCATTGCATCAATATGTGATCCAGATGTCATTTCAGTAGTTGTGTTGTCATCACCACTTATAGCTTCAACAGGGTCAGGGTTGAAAGCTATCTCAGTGGTTATAGGAACCAAGGGCAGTGTAGGATTAAACATTTCAGCTTCAGGTGACTTTGAAACATCTACTGATTGGCTCTCTTTTAGGGGATATACCTGCTCATAAAGCTGAACATCCCTGGAAACAAACACTTCTTTATTAGCAATGTCATATAAGATATAACCTTTAACATATGCAGGAATTCCCAGAAAAATGCACTTTCTAGCTCTAGGATGCAATTTGCTTCTGCCTTGTGAAAGAGTAGAGCCATAGCATAAGCAACCAAAAGTCTTAAACTGGTCATAGATTACAGCTTTCCCAAACAGTGTTTCAAAGGGAGTTTTGTCTCCAAGTATTGAAGTAGGCAGCCTATTTATCAAATAACAGGCATGTAGAACACAGTGACCCCAGTATTCCTTTGATAAACCAGACTGAAATCTGAGTGCCCTAGCCACATTCAAAATATGCTGGTGTTTCTTCTCTGGAATTCCATTTTGCTGAGGGGTATAGGTACAAGACTTTTGATGTATGATGCCATTTTCATTGCAGAAACTATTCATCATAAATTCATTGCCATTGTCTGTTCTTATGGTTTTGATTTTTGTTGCAAACTGAGTATCAACATAGGTGTAGAAGTTTTGAAATAAGGTCTTAACCTCTGATTTGTTCTTCATAAGATGCAACCATGTAAACCTGCTATGATCATCCACAATAGTCAAGAAATAATGCTCTCCCTTTAAGGATGCAACAGCAATAGGGCCCAAAACATCCATATGCACTAGGTCAAAACATTTTGCAGCTCTAGAAGTGCTGATAGGAAAAATAGACCTTTTGTGTTTGGCAAAATGCAGCTCTAGAGGTGCTGATAGGAAAAATATACCTTTTGTGTTTGGCAAAATGACATGCATCACATATAAACTCATGAGATTTACAGAATTGTGTATCTTTTATTCCATTCAAAGAGTGTATCTTATTCACAGGGTAATGCCCTAATCTACAATGCCACAACTCTAAAGATACACTATTACAATCAATAGTCCTGTCAGATTGAGTGTTCTTCCTTCTAAAAGGGGGTTGAGTGATCAGGTACAGCCCATTCCTTTCTTCAGCAAAACCATCCACTATTCCATGAGGGCCCTGAATGGTGCATGAATCAGATTTTATGACAATTTTACATGTCCCTTGCTTTGTCAGTTTACTAACAGAAACAATATTGAATGTGAATGCAGGAATGTGTAACACATTGCTTAACAACAGATTTTGATGTAACCTGATATCTCCTACATGTGTAAAAGCCACATTTTCCCCATTGGGTAATTTGACAGATAATCCATGAACTTTATAACAGTTCTCAAAGTATTCTAGTGAGTATGCAATATGATCTGTGGCACCTGAGTCCAAGATCCATATAGTATCTAATGCATTATTAACATGTAGATTAGAGATGAACCTGCCTTCATTGGATTCCCCATTGTTATTCATGGTGACAACAGCATTAGTTGTTGACTGACTTGCTTTATTCTGATTCTGTAATAGATTCACCAGCCTCTGGAATTGTTCTGCATTCATTCCTATATCCCCAACTTGGTTCACAGAGGAATTATGAGCATCCTGAGTCTGTTTATTTCTAGATTTGTAACCTGCAATCCATCTTGTAGGATATCCATGCTTTTTGTAACATTTTTCAACAGTGTGGCCAATCATATTGCAATATGTACACTTAGGTACATTCCTTCCTCCATTATTGAATTTCTTCTTGTTGTTAGAGGCTGAAAAGGCAATGATCCCTTGTTCATCTATTTGTTGATCCTGGCTGGTTTGGATGGCATTTGACTGAATAAGCTCAGTACTCTTTTGGTTGATGGTACCATTGATCTTTCTCTCTATTTTCAGAGTCAAATTAAGAACCTTTTCCATGTCAGGAATTGGATCCATGACCAGAACTCCTGCTTTTATGGATTCATATTCATCATTTAATCCTTCTATGAATCTAATGACCTGATCATCTTGTTTCTCTTTCGATATTTTGCTCAACAAAGTACATGAACATCTAGGAGTGCATTCACAGATTGGTAAGGGTCTCATAGCATTCATCTGACCCCATAAGGCATTGCATTTTGTAAAATATTCATTCACAGATTTGTTACCTTGCACAGTGGTGAAGATTTCATTCTGGAGCTCAGCAATTCTGTGAGGATCAGCCTGTGAATACCTCTTGCTAAGTGCACTCCAGATTTCTGATGCTTTGTCAAAATAGAGGATGCTTTCTACAATGGTGGGAGTGAGTGATCTCATGATCCAGGAGCACACAATCTTGTTGCACCTCATCCACACTCCATATTTAGAATCTGTTACTGCTGGAATTGACACAGATCCATCCACAAAGCCAAACTTATTTTTTATTTCAAGAGCTGTCTTCATGGATCTGCTCCATGAAGAATAGTTAACCTCAGATAAAGGAGGAGACACAAGAATCATATTTGGATTCTCAGTGATATGCAAGTAGTAAGGATCATCAAACTCTTCATTTCTTTGATTCATATTTTGATTAGCTGAATTCTGATTCACAGGATTAGTGTTGTTCCTGTTTGAGTTCCCTTCGCCTGCATCAGTGTTCATCGTGACGACTGCTGCGTAGCTTCGAGGAAGCTCTGATACCATGTTGAATGCTCAGCACATGTTTGATAAAAAGCCAGAGAGAGAGATGAAAAGCTAGAGTTGGGAATCAGAGAAGTGAAGTTGAATTGAAGAAGAAAAGAAGTTACAATGCAATAGGCAAAGATAGTTCCTGTTATATACACTGTCAGGGCAGTTATAACAGAACCAAGAAAGGAAAATACGAAAAAACCCTTAGGCTAGATTCTTCTTTCATTTTGCAGCTTGTGCATACTTTGTCAGAATGAAAACTCAACAGATGGGATGGATCAGATGGTGACAACACAGCTGCAAGATGAAGATGACACATACAGAGCTGCAGAAACTTTTCTCCTTTCCTCTTCGTTTTTTTTTTTTTTTTTTTTTTTTTTTTTTTGTGTTTTCTTTCTTTTCTGTTTCACATTTCCCTTATCTCTTTTTCTTCCCCTTTTACCTATTTCTTTTGTTTTTCTTTGTTTTTTTTTTCTGTTTTTTTTTCGTTTTTGCTTTCTGTTTCGTTTTTTTTTTTTTTTTTTTTTTTTTTTTTTTGTTTCCTTTTTATATTTTAATAGTAATACTAATATAATAATAATGATAATAATAACAATAATAATAATAGGATGAAGTGTCAAATAGCACCATAAACCAATAGTGAAATGTCATACCGCACCCTGACCTTTCATAAGTGCTGATTCGATGCACAAACTAATTTTTTTTTCCTCTAGAACTTTTTATAAGTTACCCGGTAAACCTGATGACATGGAAGCAGTAATATATGATGTGGCATTATTAATTTTAATTAAAAATAAGACAACTGACAGCACCATCGTGACCTTCGCCTCTCTCATCACTTTTTCTCTCTTTCTCTCTCCTGTGTTCCCTTTCGGCGAAGCAAGCAGGCATCGATGATGGCCAACTCCCCTCCCTTCTCGTGCTTTTCTCTTCATCTTCGCCTCCTCTTCCTCGTTAATGGCAGCACGGTGCCATCAGCAAGTAGATCCGGCGACTTCTTGCCTCCTCTAGTCCAGCGTGAACAGATCCGGCAGTAGTAGTGGACGACGGTGGTTGGCGGCGTCTAGAAGTAGCGACGGGACGAGCTCCGCCCTTTCCCTTCTCATCTCATCTGAAGCGGTTGTCTCCAGAGTCATCTGGTTTAGGCGAAGAAAAGGATCGCCATTGGGAGTTGAAGAGGCAAAGCTATTCCAGAGTCATCCGTTCTTGTCCAAGATTGAAAAGTCCATGGTGACTATTCCTGTACTGGCGCAGAAGTTGGTGAGGATCCAAGCGAATATTATCTCGAAATGTTTGCCTGAAATTGTTCGGAAAATCAATGATAAGTTGTCTGCCAACATTGCCGATTTGAACAGACTGCCCCAGAATCTAAGCACGGTGGCTGAAGCCTTGACGGCGTTCATGCAGATTATCAGCTCTAGGAAGGAGTTGGTGATGAAAATTGTTGTTAGAGGTGAGTTTGATGAGTACCCTGATGAGAAAGAAATGCATTGCACGGCACGATTGGTGGAAATGCTAAATGAGTATGCAGATGAGTTGCGGGAAACTGGTTTGAGTTTTGATTGCAAAAATTTCTTAATGGAAGAGATTTTGGCCTTAGAGGAGGCAAAAGATTTTGTGGCCAAGTTGTAGGACTATATTGAGAAAACAGTGGTTACAGTTTTGATGCAACATGATGATATTTACC